TTGAGGATGTAGCTCAGGGGTAGAACATTTTCCTTGCATGTACCAGGCCCTGGGTTCAACCCCCAGCAAAAACAAACAGACAAATAAATAATTCAGGGCAATATTTTCAATTATTTGAATGGTACCATGGCATATTATCCTTTCTCCACCTATCAAAAGCCTACTCATAATTGAGAACCCAATTCAAGTGTCAACTTTATTGCAAATCTTCTGCAAATGTTCTTTAGATCTAATCTGGGGACTTAGGGAAGGTTTTCTGCAGGAAGTGATGCTTGAGCTGAGATATAAAAGCCAAGTGGAAATACCCTGTGGGAAAGGAGGGGAGACTGTATTTGGGATAGAAGAGACAGTATACAATAAATTTCATGACATTACATTATACAAAGATATCTACATTACTTTGCAATTGGTAGTTTTGTAATTCAGGCTACTTGGAAGGCTGAGGCAGGAGAATTGCAAGTTCAAGGCCAGCCTGTGCAACTTAGGCCCTCTCTCAAAAAAGGGGGGGTTGGGATATAGCTTAGTGGTAGATTACCCATGGGTTCAACCCTAATACAAAAACCAAAACCAAAACAAACAAACCAAAGGGGAAAAAACACCCCCCAAAAGCAAACAGGAAATGTAGTTTATTAGGAAAACCAGAAGGCCAGTGTGATTAGAGCAGAGAAGGACAAAAACTTGACAAATAGGGCAGTAGCAAATGGTGTACTGTCGTGTAGTTGGTACAGTACACAAAGATCCTCATGAAGGGGGCCAGCCTGTGTCTGCCTGCTAAACCACATACACATGGAGCTGTGTCCACCCAGAAGTGGTAGTTTTTCTAATTTGTCCACCTTGCTTGAATTTTCAGAAAGAGACCAAAGGCTAACAGCATCCTTTATAAGGCCACGTATGTTCCATCTCCCACTTACCATACTGTCCTCATCTGGAACCTTCTCCCATTCTCTTCTTTGAGCTCCAGCCACACAGGCCTTCTGAATCTTCAGGACCTTGTCCATTTTTACTTGTTATATTGGGTTTCACTATCATGAACCCAGCTCAATGTTTGGCATACCACTGAGGCTTGAGGAGTGTGCTCTAGTGTCCAATCAATGAGGTAAGGCTGATTTGACTTCCTTTAAGTCAAATTGGGTTAGGCCTGCCCTG